GTAGGTATAGATCAGCCAAGTAGGTGTAAAGTATCCTTAAAAGTGTCAAAATAGTACCAAAATTTTGTCTCTGGTAGGAACAGAATTTTCGACGCGTTGGATTTCTGTTCTCTATTCCCCGTACCTGACCTGCCAGACCAATCACAGTCGAGACTTTGGGACGGGCACGTGGTTTCAAAAAGCAGATGATTGGACAGCACTTCTATTACCAACGAATCATTGTGTCTTGGCGTTACATACGTTTCTATTCCTTATTCCTATTACCTGTGCTCTCCTATTGTGTGATAGGTTTAGGAGCGCGGCGGCGAGACGACATCCGTGATAAACGAGATCACAATGGACGGGCGGCGACGCGTCCGTGACCGCCGGCTACCGGTCGCGATCTCTCGACCAATCGCCGACGGCGTCGATGTCCGTCGGGATCGCTTCAACTCCGAGGTAACGCGGAATTCTAAGGTTCGAACGATTCTGCCACCACGTTTAATCTATGAAATAATCATATCTCCCTCTCAGCGATGTAAAAAGCTGGAATGAGGAAGGAAGGATACGCTGGAACAGCGACCAAGTTTTCCTCGGCTCGCAATTACGGCTAGGTTCGACGCGCTGCAACATCATCAGGCACGATGACCGCTTTTATCTCCGTAACGACACGTATCTGTGTCCTATCGCGGTTATTCGCCGCGTGTAATTTAGTAAATGCGCAGTATTTTTCAAACAAGTATCGGTTAATTATGTTGTGTATCGAGAGGCGCTGACGTAATTTCCTGTAATATAATTTTTATTCTCTACCAACGACGACGCTCTCAATAACTATCGCCATATAAGATCGTCAACAACGAGAATAGATCAGCTTTTAGCTTCGAGAAAAATGTTTTGCGGTTCACTTGCTTTGCTACATATAATGATATAACGCGTACTCCAATTGACGAGGTTTTAGAATTTGGTGAACATTAGCCAAGCATCTGCATAAACATTAACAGCCCAATTAATGATTTCTTTCTCGTTTCCTTATTTACGTTTCATAAGTCTATCAGTTAATCCTGGCGGAGGTAATAGCTTTCGCAATTAATTTCTTTAATTAGAATTTGCCAGCCAAGCGTCGTCTAGCAATTTTCTACATTGGTCCATCAATTAACATGGACAATCTTTGCTACCACAATTTTGCACCAATAAATCGTAAAACAAGACATTGACGCGAGCGATCCCGTTTCTTTCTCCACCGATCTAATGTAATATTAATTTAAACGCAGGCTCGGTGTCCTGCTTCGTTAAGTACAGTAATTTCTTGATCAGTGCACGCGAAATTAAGAAGCACCTCGCGCGCGGGATGAAGAAATTACGTAAATCCGGAGCGCCGCTCGGCGCGCGCGCGCGGAGAAAGCGGCGTCCGGCGCGCCGGATGAAAAGCGATCGGCGGAATTACGGCGTGCGTCACCCGCCTTAATTTACATGTTTACCGGCGGCGTACGGCGGCGTCGATAATTTATTATTTACAACGGAGCGATTGAGAGATAGCCGGGCGCGGAGCGGATAGAAAATCGCGCGGGCGGGAACGAAAGTAGCGCGGGGAATAATTATTTGTAGCCGCGGTTTAAGCGTATGTAATTTCGAGAGTCGGTAGCGGCAATCGATCATCGAGATCAGATACAGACGGCCCCGGAGGATAAAGCGACGGGCCCCCGCGGGGGAGGGGGAGGGGGAGGGGGGGGCGTCGGGACCCCGAAGATAAGCTCGCGGCATGGGGTAGTCGTAATTATCGAGACACGGACGGTCGATGATCCTCTCGGAGCTACTTATTTCGCCACATCATCGATATCTCGTGCGCTCGTACGCTTCTAATCGCCGATCGGTCGTGCGCGTTTAACGTTTGCGCGCGGCGCAGCCGTTTACCGCTGAAACACTCGGCGCAGGAGCGATCTTGTATACGCGTACGACTTCGACCGGGACTACAATGATTACCAATTAAAAGCCCCGGCTACCAAACGACGAAGCGAAGAGGTATGTAAAGCGGGAATTCGCTTCGTGATTATCGCTCGGCCGAGGTGGAATCTCTCCTCGCCGTGGACGAGGGAACGCGCGAGATACGTCCCGAAATCACCGGCTCGCGGATAAGAAGCGAGGGAAAGAAAGTAAGAAGAAGCAGGATCGCCCTGCACCCGGCGTGGTCTTTCGCGGCGGTGCCTACGTGTACACTGCACGGCACGAGAACGAATTCCCGCTAACTGGATTTTCTGCGATAAATCAGTTTAACCAAGTGCGCGTTCGCCGGGCCGAGGCGTGGCTAATGAAGCATCCGCGAGCGAGCGGGACGTGTCGATGATCGGCAGTTTCGACGGCCCGAGGAGTTTCTCACCGGCTCTCTTCCTCGCCGAAGCACCGCGTTAACGGATCCACGCGTACGTGGCAGGCTCGTTTATAATCTCTCTCTCTCTCTCTCTCTCTCTCTTTCTTTCTCTCCGCCTCTCTCGCACGATAAAAATAAAATCGCGGTGCGGCCCGCGTCCGTATCGTTTATCAATCGGTACGCCGTCGGGCTCCGTCGCTCGTTACCGCCGTGGAATTTCAGTACTTAAGCCAACGCTCGGCAATTTAACACATTGTCGATCCACCCGATTTCAATCTTGCCGAGCACGAGGGATGCGCGAAGGGAGCGCGTCTCTCCCGACGTTGCATCCCCCTCGCTCCGGATGGGAGGATGTAACGGACAGTCCGGTACGCTCGATCAGTTTTTACATCGAGCTACTTATCAGCGCGATATGCACACGGATTGCCGCGCCGGCCCGGAGAAAGTGCAACGTTTACAGATCATTAAGACTGTTTAATGAAATGTCTATCACGGAGATGAATAAAACTGCCTCGCGTCTCGTCTCGCTAATCGCAGGTACCCGCAGGATTCCGTAAGGGATTCTCCTACGTGCACGTGAGATATGTGTCTAGACACACGGTACCTCCGGCTTCTTATTTCGGCTCCACCTTTTCTCGGCACCCTTGAGGCGTTTCGTATAAATTTATACGAACCGCTCGTGCTGGTTCCATTCAACGAAACGAGCATATATTTGTATATCATTACGTACAAAGTGTTAAATTTCTAGCGCGCTATCTCTTAACATACTCAGAAAAAAAGTCTGTTTAAAATCAAACAAATTTGTTTGAATTTTGACCCTGCTAGACTTTAATTTCATTTCAAAGAAATGATTTCTTTACCTTGACCAAACTTTTATTTCATCGAGACTGAAGTTTCTAAGAAAATTTATATCCATTTTTCTTCAAAGCTGGCAAATGTTTTAGTGGAAGTAACTAAAAATCTAGTACATTCAATGAAATGTGATTTCAACGTATCTCATTTGTTTAATCGAAATCTTCTTTCTAAACTGAGAAAAATTTCCATCGGATAAACCAATTAAATAGTGTCTCCCGATTAAGTTTTTCGATTAAATTACGGATATACCCGATGAAATTTCAACAAGACATGTATGATAGAATGTATTTTGGCTAAACGAAACAGAATTTCTAGTTAGCACGATATTATAGGGCTCGATATTTCATAACCAAAAGTTTGCTAGACTTCACTACACATGGTAAATCCTAAAGGAATTCTGATTCGTCCATTTTCTAACAGACGACTGGTTGAATTTACCAGATTTTTTTTCCAGTGCAGCGATAATTAACGACGTCAGTGTTTTCTTGACCATACCTGGCATTTTTAATAATACAGAAAATTTATTGCGAAAACTATTACCTCAGCCAGGGTTTGAACCTGGGCCTCCCTACACTCTAGGCGGGCGTATCACCAATTCGACCACCGGGGCATATAATAAATTAAAAATCGCGATTCTTCCTCCACTCGTTGCCGCTGGTTCGCGATCTTTCGCTTCAAATAGGAATCTAATTGAGACGAATCGCCAAGAAGTCCGATACATCGATAACCGATATTGAAAAGTCGTGTGACGAATGACGTTACAGATAAGACTCGCACTAGTTATCCGGCTGTTTCATAAAATGACTTGAGCATTACCGGCCAGCTCACGCGGCGATTACGCAAATGTATCTTATCTCGAGCCGTTCCATTCGCAGAACGGATGTGCAGTTCGCAGACACTGCGAATCATCTCCTTTGTCCCGCACCGTGTCACCGCTGTCTGCTCTAATCTCCCGCTTCACCGTCACGTCCGCGAGCTTCTTATCGTCGCGTCTAACATGGTTACCAGCGCGATCGCTATCAATCATAAAATTGCGAGAACCACCTTCGTCCCGTCGAGGCACCCAAGTTGCCATTTTAAGCACCGACGCGTTCCACCCTTCGCCCTGCATCCCCCTCTCGCGCAATCGCGCACCGATACTCGTGGAGTCGCATCTCTCTGCATCTCCGTCGGCTCTCGCCCTCTCTCTCTCCCCCTTTCTGCTCCTCCTCGGGTTCTCTTCTCATCCTACGCGGCGGAGAAGCAAAGAGAATGCGAAATCGTTTTGGATTGGCGGTTTTACCGGACTCCTCCATTGGCGGGCGTTCCGCGTTCGAGGCGGATCGAGCGACGAGGGCGGACCCCGGCTCGACCAGAGAAGCCGGACGACCGGGCCGTCTCCACCAGAGACGGCAAGCAGCCGCGCGCACCATTCGAAAGTCCTCCCGGTGGGGAGGGAATCGCCTCTCTCGCGGCTCTTCCGTCCCGGCCGGTGGAAACGGCCCCACACACCGGTTCGCGCAGCCGCGGCGTACGCCTCTCGCTCGTTCCCGGTCCAAGAAGCGACGGCGCGACGCGGCGAAAACGAAACGCGACCGCGATTTTTCTTCTTATTTCTCTCCCCCGTATCCTCTCCCTCTCTCCCCCCCTGTCTCACTGTCTCATCCCTTCTCCCCCTCTCGTCCCATCCACGTTTCGGTACACGTACGGGGTACGCGCCCGCGCGAGTTCTCGCTCTCGGCGAGCGGGCAGGTACACGGAGGGGACCACCGTTCGGCGACGCGGGTGATCCCTCGTTAAACGGACGTGACGGGCGGATAAGGTGCGAGAGATACCAGAGGAATCCCGCGGGAAGAGAGCCCGGAGCCGAAAGGCGGAGTTTTCGAGGAGAACGAGAGGACATCACTCGACGTAAACCTGTCGACGCACCAAGGTTAGTTCCCCGACGTTCAGGGTACGCGAGACGACACGGGAATGATTTAAGTGCTGGCCAGAGTGATTTCTCTTTACGAAAAATGTGATCGGATATAACACGCGTTTGATACGTCGCCTTGAGACGACTTTCATCACTTTGCCTCGTTCTTCCGACTCCAGTCTTTAACATCTCATCGAGAGGAGTTGGTATGGAATGTATCGCTAACGCCTCGATATCGCCGTTCGTCTCGTCAATCGATGTATCGAGATTGGTTTTCCGCTGGTTCGAATATTTTCCACGCGATGAGAAAGGGAAACCGCTGTGTAAATATACGCAGATTGCTCCTCCGGAGTGTCAAAAGTATTTCTTTCGTAAGTCTGATTTTTCCTATAGTATTGTCTTCTTTGTAAACGTCACAATTCATTACATCGGAGCAAAAACTGCACAAGTGCAACTCCAAAGGTCTGTGTCCACGATGCTAGGACTTGGTCCAAGTTCTAGTTCCGAGAAATGCGTGGCCAATCAACTTGCAGTTTTTAAAAGTCTGTGTCCACGATGCTAGAACTTGGTCCAAGTTCTAGTTCCGAGAAATGCGTGGCCAATCAACTTGCAACTATTTCATAAAAGCTGCAAGTTGATTGGCTACGCATTTCTCGGAACTATAAGAACTTGGACCATGTTCTAGCACCGTGGACACAGGCCCTAACACGCGCACAAATCTGATGATCTCCCATTTAACTTTTAACGTAAAGTCCCGCGTATTTCGCGTAGGCATTTCCGTTCGAGACGAGAATTCTCTTTTCACACGTAATTACCCGCACTTTACATAATTGAAGGCCAAATACGCTTTGTACTTCCTTCCTACGAGTCGTTCGTTAAGGAACAGTTACAGTTAAAATTCGTCTCGCGAAAAGGAAAGCGTCTTTCCGAAAATGTCAAGAAATTCTTTCCAGCGATACATAACAGAGCGCAGATAAATATCCCTCGCACACGATACGGTACACTTTCTTCGTTTCTCGCGAATTAACAGAGCGTATAGCGGCCTCAACCGCCGCCGGTCATCGCGATCGGAATAGATCTATCGTCATGTACCCGATTACCAATGCTAACAATGCTGAAAGGGTTAAACGACTTTGACGATGCGTAAGCGATTCGATCGCTACGCGTTTGTGCGTGCGTGACGCGTCAGCGTTGATGAACGACCCGATCCCAGAGATACCCTATTACGTCTCTATAAAGGCGAAGGCCTGGGCGGCGTGGAAAGGAAGGAGCGCGACGTTGACGTTATTACATAGTTACGTACGGGATCCGAGCGTCGGAAGTTTTCATCGATAAAAACTCGATTAATCACCGCGTTCCCCGCGACAAACGCCTCCTCGCCTTGCCTCGCCTCGCCTCGCCACGCCACGCCACGCCACGCCGGGACCCGGGCCCGGCTCGGCCGGAGGAGGAGAAAACAAAGAGGGCGAGGGCAGCACTTTGTTGCGCTGACCGGAGCAACAACGCGACGACGAGAGTCCGGCATTCACGTCCCGCTGATTTACGATCCGGCCGCGCGATTATTCGGGATTTCTTGCCCGCAATAAACGTCCGTCATGTCGCGGTGGCGGCAGCGGGTTTAATTTGACTGCGTTTATAACAAGGTATCGCGCGTAATGGAGCACTAGCCCGCCGACAGGCTCCATTACAATCAGGACTTTCCTTCCGGGCCTGAGGGCAGGCTCGCCGCCTTAATTGGATTTTATTTGCTTAACCCTCGCTCTCGCGCTGCTCGCAGACGTCCCCGTCGTCGTCGACGGCGACGATGACGACTACGACTCACCGTCGTAGCCTCCAGGAAGGGCCTCCTTCTTCCCTTCCCTTGCGCTCTCTCTTTCTCTCTCTGTCTTTCTTTTCCCCGACTTTTCATTTGCATATAAATAATCATAATGACCCAGCTGACACAGTCGGCAGAACGTCAGAATAATAGCGCGATCGAGCGGGGCGGTTTGAATCCGCGAGCGATTAAGTGCGATTAAACTCAATTTCCATGATTAGAAATATGTTTGATACAAGGGATTTCAAGTTACCGCTTCTCCCACAGCTTATGAAAACGTACAAATACGTGACTGATGATGACAAATGACTCAAAGGGCCTTTCTGGGTGGGCCAGACGTAAAGGAATCTCAGCATTAGTCGTACCATATGCCATTACGTCACCGACTCTGACTTTTCACTCACTCGACTGCATTCCACAGTCCGGAGAACAGAGGGCCCCGAGCAATTTCTCTGTCTTGCATAGGACAATTGCCGCATTTGTAATTTTACGTTCCTACACCCAGAAAAAGAAAGAGTTGCTTAGATTAAACTAGTGTCCCTAGAAGACAGTGAATGTTTCTATTAGTTTAGCTCGCAGATCCCCTCGACATGGCGGAACTAATCACAGTACAGAGAGATCGTATACAAATTTGAAACTTTGATATAATTCTTAGCATTTTTATTTTACGTTTAACAAGTAGCTCTATTGATAATACGTTAACCTTTATTATAGCGTTGGTAATTATTCAATTTAACCTTCTCACCTCCGATTTGGATGACAGTAGTTCGCGTTTTTGCAGAGAACCAACTAATCTTCTAGGGACACTAGGTTAAACAAGCGAGATACGTTGAAACCGTGTTTCTTCGAATCTACCAAATTTTTATTTACTTCTAAAACATTTGCTAGATTTGAAGAAATACACCCTCAGAAAGGATTTCTGTTACCGAGACAACAAATATTCTTGACGCATTTATATTCCTCACAACTTCATTTAGTATAAAAATAAGACAATATCAAAATAAAATCAAGAATTCTTATTCCCCTCTATCGAATTAAAAACATGACTTACTATATTAAGACAAGAGTAACTTTATATACTCTTGCGTTTAGAATAAATTTTCCTTTCATCTCACAACGCACGAAATTGGCACCACGATATTCGACAAAAGACGATGCTTACTATCATTTTATTCTAGATTAGAGAATTTTTGTATATTAAAATATTTTTCTGTAATAAATACGATTGGCGCTATATTCTATTTTATGATACATTGCAGTGTAGTAGAATTGGATCCGGAAATTTTTTTCTGCGGGAGTATATATGAATTCTCATGGAGATCCCAGTCTCGATCGAATAAACTTACGGTCAGGGCAAAGAAATCATCTGTTTGACATCGAAAGAAATTTTGTTCCAGGTGTACGCGAGCAACGAGTAACTCAGTAGCTCGAATCGAGCGCGCTCGATCGCGTCTCCGCAGTTACGCGCGCGTTTCCCGGAATGAACCTTCGTCAGAAATAAATTTTCCGCGAGGTGCATCCCACGTCAGCGTTCGGCGTACGACGTTTCATTACGAGGGAGTAATTAGAGAATTGTGCCGAACGCCGCGCGCGGAACGCGCTCGCCGCGACTTAATTAATTTCGCGGGAGAAATGAGGAACAATTTGCGATTATGCTGCACACCGCGCGTACGTGATGTTTAATCACGTACGGATAATTAAACAATTATTCGTAACCTTAGATGGTAATCGGCGCAACTTAATTACGCATGAGGAGGCGGTATATCGCGCCGCGTATGCTACACGGCTATACGAGATCATGCCATGCGAATACGAGATTTAATCGAGAGGAAATAATCGCAAAATTACCTTCCGCAACAGTGAATTTAGGACGGGCATTCAATACGGCGTAATTGCTTTTGTACAAGTAATTCTTTGGATCCCGTCCGCAGTGCCGTATACGTATCTCGGGCTGCTTTGCAATTTAGATGCATATTATTTGTTAAAGAACCACGCGAACATAAGACCGATTAGATCTCTAACTGCATTTCTCTAAATTCTCCAGCCGCATTTCTTCGCGACTGTAACGCGAGGCCTAACGAGGGTTATCTGATATTTGTATTTTTAATACAGCAACGTGGGCGGGGGCGCGCGAATGTAATGGGTGTATTAGGCATCTCTCGTTATTTAACGATCATTTACACGCCAACTTGTAGTATTTCGCAGCCTATTTAGCGCCCGCCGCTTTTCATTCGCGGATTGGCCTCATTTCGAAATTCAGCTTTTATTTCCAGTTTCATTGTTTTCCACCGAAGGTAATTTAATTAACGGTTTATCAACAATTTTATCCGCCCATTAAGAGGATGCCAATTATTTCTTTCCGATGCAGCATTTAATTGAAAAAATCCTCAACAAACACGCGCATGCGAATCGCTTAGTTACTCACGAAGAATCGCAACAAAGCTGCCGACGGCAGTCAATCTGCGAGCTAACTCATCTTTTACCGTCGGCAACAGAGTAGAAAATTGCGGAACCGTATAAGTAACGATGTAAATAACGATATAATTATGTGCAGCCAGAAGTATCACTTTTCTGGCGGTACATTCGCCGATTCTACAACAAAGTCCGAGCCGCGAGTAACAGTAGCCGCAAATGATAAAAGATAAAGCGCAATTATAACAACGCAACGGAAAGAACAACTATAAAAGCTGCGGAAAACTAAACTAGATTCCGCTAATAAATCTCGACCCTTCCGACGTTACTTTCGCACCCAACACGCTATCGCTCTCACAAGGCCCTCCGTTTCGTCGTTTACCTCCGACACGTTGGTTGCAGGAAAAGCGCCGTATTGGGTTGCGATGGTAAAGTAATCGCGCGTTTTGCACGGTTAACTTGCGCTCGCCTTGATGACTCTCGTCGCGCTGCAAATCACCGGCTAACGACAGTAAGCGCGGTAATTGCGCGGACGAGTCGTGTTCCTCTACGACAAAATAGGATCGACGTAGAAACGCGCGCTAGGCGCGGAAGCGGGGCAGAGGGAGGCGGGGACGACAATCTTAATTGCAACTCAATAAGCGCTAATGATAGCGAGCGCCAATTACTTGGAGGACGGATGTCCAGGCTGGACGATAAAGCGAACACGGGAACGCTCTCTTTTTCATCGCAGGAAAAATCCGATTGCGACGATCGCGGACGACGCAGTGAATCGCAAGGGGGATCTTCC